CTCTAAAGCCGACTTGGATGTCTTACACTGCAGCACTGAACAGTAAGGGAGACATCATATAATTTTCCTACACTTAAAAAAATTATCTTATTGGTTCTACTTACACATCTAATGATTTATAATAACTTGTAACATTTAGATTCAGAAGGCTGGAAAAGTCCTCAGCAAGTGACACAGCCTATTCCTCTGCCCAACAGCAAACTATGCTCTACCAGATTTCATTCCTGACAGGTCCTGCTGTTATTTTATATCTCACTTCTCATCTCCCTTTCCAGAGATGTAAAGGCAGTTGTGCCCATCTCCTAAGGCACAGAGACATTACAGTCCAACCCTGCTCCAATGTGAGGTATGTTTTTTAACTGTGGTCACTCCTCAGAGTGATTTGTCACAAGGTGCACCAAATCAGTATCAGAGGTCCAAGAAGAGCCAAGAACTCTCCTCAGGTATTAAGGAAATTATTTTTACTAAGTATCTTCTCCAACTGAATATTTATCCAATATAGCTGTACCCTCTGCTTCTTTCACTTTTATTTTGGTACCACCTTGAACCCATTTGGACACCTTTGATCAGCTAGTGCTATAATCTAGGGGAAAAAAAAGAGTGTTCTTGCAATATGGACCTTATAGGGATGAAACTTCATTTTCAGGCTAGTAACTGTTGCATCTTTAGTGAGCATGGGAAAAAAACAATAAGGCGGCAGACTTACTTTAGTTTTGCAATGTGTTTATTAATTTCAGAGAATGCACCGCAGGAGCAAAGTTTATTAGTGAGTAGGAGGATGTTTCAGGAACTGAGCCCAACTGAAAATAATCAGCTCCCTTTAATTAATTGCATACAGTTTTATTGCATAACTGATGGTTTTAAATGTTGGCCAATTAGCTTGTCAAACACCAAAGTTAAATTTTCTGTTGGTCTCTCAACTAAGGTCCATGCCAAAGTTTTAATTCAACTTGCCTTATCAAAGCAACCAGAAAATAGGGCCTCTTGAAACTGAAATTAGTGAGCAGTTACCCAGATCTGTAAAAAAGAATAGAAAAGACAAAGGAAAAAGAAAGAGACTCAGAAATGCCGGACAGGGCCAACATCTGACTCAGGTCTATGACCCCCATTCTGGGGTAGATTACAGTTGCAACTTTACCTGGTCTTGACAACTTGTTTTTTAAGACAAGTTAAGGTACTGCTGCGAATTTAATGTGCTTACAACACATAAGAAAAAAGGATAAAAAGCCAACATCATACCTTTGAAAATAAAAATTGTTCCAGAATAGCTTATGATGCTTCAGTATGACAGTTGCCTCACTACCTGCGTGTCTCTTCCCAGCAACTGAAGAATGCAGTATGATTTTACAATCATATATATTTATATATTTACACATGAAAATGAATATAAAGTTTCATATGGTAAGTTAACAACAATGTTCTTGTCATAATCTTAGACTAAGTATTCAACATATCTATCCCAGATAAAAATCTTTATTTTCCAGTCTCTTAAATGCAATGCCAGTGAGTTGACTTTTTCCCAAAGCACTGTATTCTACAAAAATACATTAGAAAATTAATATGTTCTTTTAGCTAATTATTTTATCTAATAATTAGATTAATAGTCATGGTACATATCCTGAGAACCCCAAGGTGCTCATTGTGTCAGCTACGTGTGCTTTGAACTTGGTAATGACATTCATAAATATAAAATAGATGCTTTAAAAATGAAGATTATGCATGTTTTGGCTCAGTAATTGCTTTTGGGTGTACCAAACTCTTGGTCCAAGCATAGTCAACATTTGCAGCTTCATTACCTAAAATACTCTGTCCTGAGTGCACTAGAGATGAAACTGAGATGGATGGTTTCTGCACTTCCTACTATTTTGGTGTTCATATCACCCAGACCACATCTACACCAGTAAACCAAATAGTGTTAGCGTGTGATCTCACACATTGGGTAACGATCACCCATAGACTTTAACCATTAGTTTAATGGTTAACTTTGTATTTCCCAGAGAAGTTTTGGTTGATGCAACTAACACTTTCTAGCACGGTGTTCAGGCATGGCTGGATCCAGGCAAGAGAGGAGATACTATGGGGACATGAACAAAGTCATAGGCAAATGCTTTAGTTTAAAAGACTTGTTTAGAGTTGCTCTGTTGCTCAGATGGGTTTCAGTAACAACCTGTGATATAAGACCTTCCTTTCTTCTCCTCTAGTCCTTATCATCTCACAAGTTTCAGTTTCTCCAGGAGATAAGATGGAGCTTTTTTATGTAAACATGTCATACTACACAGCCCTGAGCCATCTCTGGAGCACTTATATTTTGGACCAAATGAATCAAAACTGCTTCCTTGTTGGTGTGATCATGTATTGCAAGACTGTAAGAAACTAAAAGCACAAATAAGAGAGCAAGGGTAACTAAGGTCATGCAGGCGGACATCTAAGAGTTTGCCTACTTTAGTAATACCACATAGACACTGTTAATTACTGGTATGTATTTTTCGCCAGTGTTTCATATAAGCCTCACACTTTGGGATCACATCATACCAGATGCTACATAGACACTTCTTTAGTCCCAACACTGAAATGTCATCACAAAACAATGAATGGAGGAAAGCAAGACGAATTAGCCTCTTTTCACAGGATAATCACGTGACTTCTTCAAAGTCACAAGAGAAGGATTTAGCAGAATTCTGCAGTCTCACCTGCTGAGTGATTCTGCAGCAGCAGCCTGTGTTTCCCTGTCTGTCACAATAAATCACTCCTCACACACTGATGGGCAAACCTTCTGGCTCCTGTGATGCAAGTCTGCCAGCAGTAAAACCTCTAACACAGCATGTTGTAAACTAGGAGGACACTTAAACTGCCCTAAACAGTTAGACCTGAGATTGCTCTGCCCACAGTTCAAACTAGAAAGACCATGACCAACTTGAAGTGCAACCACATTAGTATGGAAATGTGCCCATCCTATCCAGTCCTACCCTTATGTGTTTCAGTGATACAGCTTCAGGTTCAGAACTGGCTCATGTCAGGCCAGCCCAAACCACTGACAAAGTGTGAGTTTGTTCGGCAGAGGTCATGTCAACATGGCCATGTCTCTGTGAGAACTTGCCTTTCGGTTGTGCTTTGACATCACTGTCTGCAAGCCACAACCTGATATTTTCCCTGCTTTTCTCATGGTTCTTTTACAGCACACAACCAGCACAGTAAAAATAAAGATGCTTTATCTGAAACATCCACGAAGGAAATCCTGTGTCTCTGATGAACCTGACTTCCTCAATTTCCTGTTTGCTGCACAGCTGTCTGCATTGGATGGCTCTCAGGGACATTTTTTGGACATATTTTTGTACCTCAGTTGAAAGCCAGGCTCCTTGAGTTAAAACATAAGGGTCTATAATCTTAAAAAAAAAAAAAAAAAAAAAAAGAAATCACAGTGAAAACAGAAAGAATGAAAAGAAAACAAACCAATAAAGAATCTGTCCTGTCATAACATTTGAGGTTCTGGTATTTGCTGGACTTGGAGTAGGTTCAAAATAAATGAGGGAAATGTGTATTTCATTAGATGCTAATATTTGGAAGATAAGAGGGAAAAAATGATGAAATGCTTCCAAGTACAGTTGTGAGGACAGGGCCTGCATGTGCGTGTATAAACACACATGCTTTCAGACACACAAACATACAGTCATGATTCTCTCTGATTCAGAGTACTACTACTACATAGGAAGAAGGTAAAAAAAGGACTTATTTTTCCAGACCATTGCTCATCATGTGCATAATAAGGGCTTTTGCTCTTCTCATTCTCCATCTCCTTCCAAAATTGCAATTGTATCCTTCGATAACGTTTTTGGGTGTGGGGTTTTTTTGCAAATGAGACTTGATCTTGTAAGTGATTGATCTTGTAAGTGGTTGATCTTGATTGATTGATCAAGTGATCTTGAGACTTGATCTTGTAAATCATTGAGACATACACAGGCATGTATAAAAAATATCTCAATCCTACACAAAGTAAACTGGGCTAGGTGCCTTAATAAAAACACCCTGGTTAATCAAAAATCTAACCAGCATGTTTCCAGTTGATGGCATACTTGTTGATGGTTAAACTTTAAGGTCTCTCTTCCATTCACCACAGATGACTGTGTAATCACTTGGCTCCTAACTGACCTAGTCTGTAAAGTTAGGACATAACACATGTTTGCCTCCTGGGGACCCAGTGCCTTGGGCAGCAACAACGGTCATGAAGTGCCCAGAATTCCTTTGTTAATTAACAGATGCAATGCAAGTGAACTAAAAGATGGGATTTAGGGATCCAAGTATTCAGGTATTTTGAAGACAGCTGAAAGGAGGAGAGCATTTGGGGTCTGTGCTTCAAACAACATTGCAGAACAGGCACTGAAATTTTCACAAGTGATAGCCAAAGCTTAGATCTTTCACAGCACATCAGAAGATAATGAGTCTCTGCAGTTTATTCTAATAGGTAGTTCTGGACACAGTTTTTCATGGGGGCTGTGGATAGAAGCATTTCACTGGCCTTAGAGTTGTTTCCCAGCCAACCTTCAATACTTTACTACAAGCTCACAGGTTCTAGAGTTTAGAGATTTCTTTTCTAGCACACACCAAAATAAAAGCTTAATTTTGTTCTTTGCAGCTGGACCTTGTCTGAGCAAAGTTGCCGACAAAATCTTACCCCAGACGTAAATCTAGCACAGGAAAAGAAATGAACTAAGTGTAGCAAATAACATAAAATAATACAGTATTATATATATGTGTATATATATATGTAAAAATAGAAGCAACTGAAAACCAAGGATGATGATGTAACATGTTACAATACGAGCTGTCAGACTGTGGCTTGCATGAAATCCAGTAGTACATGTAGATAAAAGCCACTGATCCGTGGTAACCTCTTGTTAGGTGGGCAACACCTGCCAAGGAATTGATTAATTGCCATGGTCTAGGTTTCAGGTGGGGTTAAATGGCAGCAAAGAAGCAGTGTGACTGCTGAGTGGGAAGACTGTGGAGATAAGAGGTCTGTCATTAGCCCCCTAATTTGTGGAGAATGTGGTAAATTGTAGCAGAAAGGAAGAAGGAAGCAACAGTGTCAGAGTTTTAGTTTGAAGACAGAAGGATCTTGGAGGTTCTGGGAGGTAGAGGAGGTAAGTGGGCCTGGCTTGTGGAGGTAGAAATGCCGGTTTGGGCTGGGGATCTTGGACAGGTCAGGCAGAATGAAAAAGTAGAGAAGGAATGGAGGTGAGGCTGTGGGTCTTGGGGACTACTGATGATGTGAAGGCTAACTTAGTGTCAAGCGATTTTGACCTTCTTGTGCTAGACCTTGGGCTTCATTAGAACTGTCCCCACTTCTATCCCCTCCAGATCTCCCCTCTTTTTGTGCAGTATGTAACACACCACTTGACATGCAAATCAATGCAAATGTACTGAATTCAAGGAGAATCAGAGTGTTGTGTGAAGCAACCATTACCAAAGCCGCCCTCTCGGCATCAGACATCTCCAACACAACATCCTACCTAAGTGTCTCCTTTTTCCTTATAGTGGAGATTATTAATTGATTCCTCACCTTCAGAAATCCTGTCTGCCCAGTATCAACATCTCATGAATGAACAGAAAATGTTATAATCCCACTTTTATAACATCAGATAGAATGGGAGACTACTAGATTTATGTCAGTATAATTGTCCTAAATATTTCTGAATTATTCACAATGGTTGAAGCTAACTGAAAATTAATTCTGGAAGTTGGCTTTCTATGTTGGCATTGAAAGAAAACTGGGCTTTGCTTAAAATCAGGCTGTGTCCACCCACCCTTTCCATCCCCCCAGAGAAGGAGGAAAATGAAAATTGGTTTGGATTAAATATTTTAAGCCTTTAATCCTTCCTTCTATTTTTTTTTTTTTCCCATGGAAAAAAGTATTCCCAGCAAACTCTAGTAGAAAAACAGTTTCTGTCTGCTTTTATTCACCAATATTTTCCAGAAGAAAATAAGCATTTATCATTCACATAGCTTGCTAGTTTTCTTCCTCAAGTTAGAGCTCTGATTAAGGAAAAAAAAATCAAACAAACCCTTGGGTTTTTTGTTTTTGATCTGGTATTATCAGAGAAAATCTGAACATCTTAAATGTTCTGGTTCTCAGTAATGTAGAATCATAGATTCTTAAGATCATCAAGTCCAACTGAAAACCTAAGACTGTTAAGTGCCTCTAAACCATATCCGTAAGTGGCATATCTACATGTCTTAATGCTACAGCAGAGGAGAGCCAAGAGTTGGAGAAATCAGTTTCAGGCAAAGTGGAACCAGGGTTATCCTACAGAACTATGGCTGGATTTCCTGGTGCATACCAGTGTGCAAAAGTTTTTCCTTTAGTTGGGACAAAAATTGGAGTTTCTCTCCAGGGAGCATTTCTTGGTATCCAAGAAATGGATACCAAGGGGTATCCCCCTTTGGAGGGGTAGTGTTTTCTTCCGAAACCACTTTTTTTCTTTTTCTTTTTTTTTTTTTTTAAACCTGTAAGAGTCTGTTATCTTCAAGGCCTTATCCATTTACTAGTTTTGATTGAAAGTGAAAATGGGTTAGAAGTTACTGGCACACACATACAATCGCACATACACTGCATGATTTCATGAATCTCATGCTTAGAGAAAGCCAACTTTTCTTTAGAAAGAGAGAAAAACATGATGTATTAACATCAATACGTTAACTGTGTTTGCCAGGTTAGCTGATACCCTCTTCTGAAAACCTCAGGAATGTGATCCAGTGGTGCCAATCCAGTAGATGGCTGTGGTGTTCACTCAGAATCTTGGCCCCAGGCTGTCCAACACACTCTAAAATGGATAAGAAAGATGCTTTGCTATCCACAGGCCTTGATCAATCCCACAAAGAGAGGAAAAGAGAGAGATATCCCTTGGTGTTTGTGCCTGCTTCTCTTTCAAATGGAATTAATGGTGGTTTAATGGGGTATGAAAGGATGTTTTACTAGAAACAATGAGGAACAATTGTCTAGCTCACGTTTCATTTCACAGGTCATTATTGCATTAAGAAGTAAATCGACCAAGTCCGGTAAATAACAGTCTGTGTTTTGCCCAGAGCTTCAAACCAACAATCTTAGCAGTCACCAACTAATATCTTTGTCATTCTTAACCCTTGAAGGGATCTGCTGGGGGCTAAACAATTATAGTCTTCACCCACCCCTAGCAGGTAAGCATTATTCATTTTATTTCTCATCCCTTCTTCCTGCAAACCCCACGAGGCTGGGTTTTTGCATTGTTGTTTTGTTTATTAGCCAACCTAGCCAACTGTGTGTCTGGTGGCCTTGAAAAACAACACATATTTTAGTGACTTGCTGCAGGCGTCTTTAAACAGGCTGCTTCCTCTGCAAAATTAATTGTTGCAAAATGCAGTGCTTCTCCTGTAAAGCTCTGCAAACTAACACTCAGCAGTTTGGTTTGATTATAGATATGCCTCTAAGATCTAAGGAAAATAATATAGTTATACTTGCAGGATGCAATTCACATTTCTTTTTTTTTAATTGCATAAACACAGCCGTCTTGCCTCCTTAAAGGTACCAACCATCAAGCTTAGAGAGGCTGTATGTCCTATGCTGCTCTCCTCAGCTGTCCCTGACTCTTTTTAAAGCAGCTGCAAACTTCACTTTCCTGTTTCTCCTGAAGCCTCCTGGGTTAACTATTAATATCAGCAGTTTCTTTTAGAAGGTACCAGAAAGGTTTCTGGATGGTATCTAGTAATAATAAAAAACAACTACTGACTCAGATTTGTGGGCATCACTGAAGCAGGAATGATAAATAAGACTGATACAGCCCTCAAGAGAAAAAGGCATGATGTCGAAGCTACTGAGCTGTAATGAGAAGCTCCAGACAAGGAACCTGTCTCAGGTTTTGTTCCTTGGTGCTGTAAACTCCAACTCGGATCCTGTACACTGTTTTCTGTGGGATTAGCCTCTCCATACTGCACAACCTTTCCAGTGCATTAACATTCCAGAAGAACAGGCACTCTGGCTGAGAGTGATCAAGTGCATGGCTTGGGAAAGAATCTCTCTGCACTAATTACTTCCCTAGTAGTCACTCTTTGTCTTCATCAGCAGGATTTAGAAAGTTCTAATTACCAGATCTTCCTACCGCATCACCCAAAACTTTGAATCCACAAATCCCTGTCAGACCTCAAAGATTCCTTCAGATCACTGAGCATCCTTACAGAATTTTGAAAATGGGTCCAGAAAAGGCCTTCTGAAGTTATTTGATCCATTCCTTCCCTCGCCTTGGGAAAAGACCAGCTGTATCTGGATCAGCCAAGGATGTTTGCATAACTTTTACTGAGAGTGACATTACAACCCACTCAGGCAAGTTATTACAGTGTTTTGTTGTCTTTATTGTAACCTTTCCTCCCTTAATTTAAAATTATCTTGATGAAATTTCAGTCTATTTTTTTGATTCTATAGACTTTTTCATATTTTGAAGTTAGTTCTTAATTCTCTCATCCATTTCTTCTCTTCAAAACTGAGCCGCCCAAGATTCAGATATTTTTCATAGCTCCAGTTTCCCAGATGGCTAATAATTCTTTTCACCTTTAAGTGTCAGACTACTAAATCAATACATGAGTCATGTGTGCATTGGTTATTCAGACTCTATGTACCACCAATGGTTTATAAATCACAACTTCAGAACCACTACCCTGAAATACTAACCTCATTATGTCAATGATAAAAAAAAGCTGATGTTCAAGTTGCAGACAATATTTATATACAGAAAGGTAGAGAGTTGGATATCGAATACATAACTAAACTCCTAAATGAAGATGACGTGGTGTTTGGGGGCTTCTGAGCTATTTTTTAACTCACAGGGAAACAAATGGACTCTCTGAGACTTCACAAACTCTAAAAATGGTGTCGTTTTCCAAAATAACTTTTTAAATATAAGAGTTTGATTTTGAAAATTACAGGCCTCAAAATAAATCATCCCAACTTTGTTCTTGGCTTTGGTCTCAACTTAATTAAGGTCTGCTGAAACCTTTATCAAGGATGTGTTTTCAGGAAAATTAAGTAAAAGTTACAGGCATTTTTTGATCATATTAGGTTTGAGTTTTATAAAACAATAACTTGGTAACAGTTCTTTTAATGTTCTCCATTGCTACCTTCAACCCATTTTGCATGCATTTATTGCAGAAAAAAAAGCAAATTTCTATCTGCAAACAGACACAACAACAAACTCCAGAGGAAAACAATAAATTTTTCATGCCAACATTGCAACTGTTTTATTCCTTGCAAATCTACCAAACCTGCATTCTTTTCTCAATCATCTTTAATTACTACATAGTTATACATAGCAGATGTGGTTAATCATAGTCCTTGAAATAATAAATATATATGGTGCAACATTTTTAAACAGCTTACTGCTAAATTATGCTGGCAGCTTGTGTGTCAACATTATACACTTCGTCAACTATTAATTGCTAAGTTTATTCAATAAAAAAAAAAAAACAGAAGAAAGCAGATTGTGCAAAAATCCACGATCCACATCCCTGGGAATTTAAAACTATTTAGACATATATGACAGATTATTGTTCTGGCCAAATTTGAAGCTGTTCTTATAGGGAAAGAAGAAGAATGTGAATGACTCTCTTCTGGATTTGCACACTGGGGCTGGATCTCTGCCTTCATGAATATATCCTATCCTGGAGAATCTAATATTGTCTGGGATGGCAGCCTGCTTTCATGCTCTCATACCTTGCTATGTGTAATTCTCATAGTCTAATGCTTAGCTACAAATATCAGCTGAGATTAAAGGCCTATATAGCAAATTGCAACATTTTGGGTTTGCTTAGAAAGTGAGTCATATTCTCCCCTCTAACAAGGGTAAAAATAGTTCTGCAAGTACAGATACTGGCTGACGGATTTTTCTGATGGCCTTTTCCTTTCTTCATTCTCCTCCCCGAGTTCCCATTTCTCTGGCTATAGCCCCGTTGTAGTATCTCTCTACAAGGCAGGATAAAAAAAGAAAAAAGGTTCTTAAGTTACTAGTCCTTTGCTACAGGTCCTCCAAGGGAAGACAATAAACTTCAATGTTTCTGGGAGCTGGCTGTTGTCAGATTACAGACATGAGGAAGTATGATAACAGAGTCTTATAAATATTGCAGATAGTCAACAAATGGTTGAAATTTTAACTACAGCATGATGGTTGTATCAGCTTTCCTTTGTGGAGCAGGGGTTTTAAACTGGACACGCATCAACTGAGCACACAAACTTTTGACTTGCCCTTCATTCCTCAGCTAGAAACGCTCATGTTTATAGCTAATTCTGCTGTACAGATTGTGATGCTGTTGTTTCCTATGTCATGGTACCATTTAATGCTTCAGGCCTGGCCCTAAGCTGTTTTGTAGGAGGTTTGGTGTAGAGATGAGTTTTGGGAGAAAAAAATTTTGTCATCCAAAAATGGCAGCTCAAAGAGATTAAAATAATTAGAAAATCATGTTAAAGTCATTAAATTGTTTTGGATAATTTGAAAAAGGATACTGTGACAGCACCTTATAAATTATTTAGGGTGGTGCTGGAAAACACCTCTAAAATTTTGCAGTATTAGATTTAAAAGTAGAAAAAAAGGAAAAACCTCTCTTGGATTAAAAAAATAATTATGCTTTGTTTGACTCAAAACAACAGTTGTTTTTTCTCCTTTTAATTTTACTAGAAATAATGACAACAAAATTCTTGGATCAGTTTCCTCCGGTTTTGTTTTGTTTTCTGAATTCTGTGATTTATCCAGAAAACTAAAACTACAAGTTTTACATTAACGACTCTGCTTCTACAGAAAGCCACAATAAAAAGACCAGGGCTATCACCCAAAGAGTTAACACAGCAGGTGAAATATCAGGTACACAGAAAGACAAAGGAAAACAAAAGTGGGTACATGAATAAATATACATTGCATGTCTCACTACTGGCCATCTACAATGGGCAGAACCCAGGAAGCCAAATGGTCTTTCCTTGCTTTCTGCATACACGCACACATATGTCTACACAAATAAATTATTATATATATTCTATATTGATTCCATCTTCAATAAAAGACATCAGGAGAATTAATATCATACTGACTGATCCCTTGTGCTCCAGTTACAGCTCTCACAGCCTCTTCCTTATGGAATTTTTCTGAGGAAACATCTTCCTGGCTTTTGTGTCCCTGAAGTCTATTGAGTGTTTCTGTTTGCTCCCCTTTGAAGTAGCTAAGATATCTAGAAATGTCTGAGAGCCAATAATTTCAAGCTGATTGTCCCAGCTGAAAGCTTAAAGAGAATGCATATATGCATCTGGATAAAAGGGCAATTAAGAGGATGTGGAAAGCCAGAGCTTTTGACTTGAAGAAACTTGTGCCCCTGAACTGGGCAAGTGGCAAGGATATTGTGTAGCTACCTGAAAAGACTGTCAAAGCACTAAACAGTGCATTGCAGTGCTCTGACAAAGCTGCTGGAAGCGGTTAGAATTAGTCAGGTTTAATAAGGTATCAGGTGGATAGGTGGATGTGAAGCTCAGTGGGTGGGTCTTGACCACCCAGATAATTTAAGTACTGAATGTTCATCTGGATTCAGGAAAAGCAGAACTTCAAGGGTCAAATTCTGCTCAATAGCATCATAACACCACCATCTTCATTAGCCTTGGAACGGTGTTGCACCAAGTGGGAATCTGGCCCCACAGGAAACCTGTGGGAGCAGGTAAGTAGAGCATTTTCTCCTATTCATCTAGCATGGGAGCCTGCGTTAAGTTGTGCAAAATAGTGCTACAACCTTCACGAAGGAGAAGGAAGGGGTAGAGAATAGAAGACAATGACCATGAATTCACCTTAGCATCAAGCTGTGCCTTTTGAAATGTCAACCTTGAGAGGAATGGAACCGCAGGTCAAAATGCGAAATACAGAGGAATTTAACACATCGTTGTGAGGGGAGGGGGAAGATATCCCCATTCATATTTGGGCATCAAGAAGAAAACACAGCAATTTTGTTATAGCCTCAGAGGCAGGCAGCATTTACCATATGCTGTTGCCTCCATTACACAAGGAGATAAACCCTGCGGAGTGCAGGTTGCGTTATCAGTGTACTTTAGATGGTGGGGATTCCTGGCGTGCCTATGACTGTGTACCAGGGTGTACTAAAAGAGGTGCAGATCTAAATAAAACCCAGCTTCTGTAATCAAAAGTAGGAATGCATTAATATGCAGGTGCTAAGTGATAATACTGATGGAGTATGTGCGCTTGCAAGAGGTTCATAACCAGGGGAGAAAAGGTAGAGTAAAACTGAGTGTGTTTGTATGTAGACAATACATTAATCAGCCCTGTAAGCAGCCAGTTAGAGTGGGATTCTTAGAGGAAAAACCTTACACATTAGACATTTTGTTTAAAGATTAAAGAAGTTCTCATGTTTAATCAGTTTTAGAGCGGGATGGAAAACAGGATTAATTACAGTCCTTTCCATCAGTCTCCCATACCGCTGGAATCACAAACGATGTGCCTTTTCAGCAAAATGGCCACCATCAGCAGCAGGCACAGGAAAAGCTAATTGTAATTAAAGAGTTTATTTGGAATCAGAGAGCAGAGTTTTAATCAGGATGAGAAAGGAGCCTTGCTGTGTGAACCTTCAGAAAGTGGTTGCTGAGCAGAATGGGCCTTTTTTAAACAGAGAGAGGGGTCTTTAAACTTCTGGAGTGGGTTTTCAGCTTGATTATCTCCTCAGTGGGATATGGATGAAAATCCTTGCTGGGCCAATTATTGTTATTATTTTGCATTTATGTAGCATTTATGTGGCATGTCTTAATACTCTCAGAGGACTTTGCAAAGGGCAGGTAAGTTCTGTTCTGGTCTTAAAATGAATTAATTAAACTGTAAAGAGGCAAAGAAGGTTGGGATGATGCCAGGTGACATGATTCTGCAAGAAGGCAGAAAGACATTACTGGATACAGAACTGTGCAATGAGGTCTCCCAGACTTCTACACTATAATTCTCTACACCCATCCTGGAAAGGCATCACACAATCTGGCACCACCATCTTCTCGACCTCAGTTGTAGGTCTTAGTGAAAGCCTGGGGTAAAATCACATCTCATGGATCAAAAGTATGCGTGACTTTGCAAGCACTCCAGAGAACACGGGCACTTACCAGCTTGCAAGTAGAACTGTGTCCATTCAAATTCTGAGTTTGGGAAAACAGCAACAGGTGGGTCTAGGTTCAGGACACTTCCATCTAAATCCTTGAAAAGGGCTTTCCTTGAGCCTCTGCATCTTTTTTCAGGGAACATGGTATCTTCAGAGGTCTGTACACTGACAGGTAGGAGAAGTAATGTTATTATGAAGAGAGTAAAGGAAAAATATTGTGCTGTTGTTTGCAATTTATTTATGCTGGCAACAAACACTTCTGCAATATATTGTTTACAAGGTGAATTCACCTGCCCAAGAAAAGAAAAAAAATGGAAAATAAGTGAAAATAAGTGAAACTTAAGCATGTCAGTTGAGATCTAGCATGGTCTGAAAAGAAATTCTGTAGCAATATTTATATTTTGTCATGTTTGTGTCCAAACTGACAATCCCCCCTCCAAACAAATTAACATCATCTCTCTCCAAATGTTGGCTGGATTTGGACAGAAAAAATCATCTCTTCCCAGTATTGCTTCTATCCACAAATCTCCTCCTTCCTGGGGTTTGTCTTGGCCAGCATGGACTGTCATGTTCCTTAGAGCCAGCTATACTGTAGCAGTTTGAGTACCTCTAGTTCCTTCTTGGCTTTCTTGATTCAAGGAACTGCAGTTGTGTATCCATCAATATCCATATGCCATTAATTTTTTACCTGTAGCAGATGAAACTTGTCGTTTCTGACTGAAGCGGAAAAGTCTATTGGCTGCTGTCTTACCAAGTGACCAGGAATATCGCTGCTGCAGTATGTCGTGCTGATATGGCACAGGCATTGTTCTTCACATCCACAAGGTGATGGATAGTTTACTTTGACAGAATGGTTTGTACATAGTATTTTGTTAAAAAGCATTGGCTACCCAGCAGTATCTGTTTGCCTCGTTCTTACCCCTGCACTCTAGAATGGGGGAGCCCTCTAAAGGGCTAGAAAATTGCAGTTTCCCATCAGCAACTAATCTTATGCAGGAGAAAGCATGAAGCAAGGTGAAGTGGCAGACAGTATAAGAGAAGAAGCCAGCAGGAAAGACACAAATTAAGGCTTGGAGACTCCTGGAACAAGCAGGAAGATTTAGTCAGGCCACAGAGGGTCCATCTATCCAAATTAAACAGTTTCAGAGCCCATCCTTCTCCTATATCAACTTGTATAGTCTGTCCATGTCTATAGAGCTAAATTCCCTTAGCATTCAAAATAGGATGGTCACATCTGTGACCATCAGTTTTGAAAAGTTCTTGAGCTGAGTTCCCAAACTATGGAATTAACTGAGTCCATGCTAGCTTGCTCATGACAAAGCCAAGCCAAAGACCATGAGAAGAGTTAGACAGGTTTGTGGGAGACATATATATAACAGTTGAAATGAATCATTTCCTAGTCAAGTGTCTCTATCAACTACAGAATAAGTTTAGTGTCTTTAGATTACTTGCCTAATTTTTGGATCACTAAAGATTATTGATCTGAATCACTTGTTGGAGGTCTCAAGTACTTTTAACTGTATTTTGACTAAAAGTTTAACACAGTTTAAAGGAGTTTGCCAACAGATCATATCACTTTTATCACAAAATACAATGAGATAAGATGGCTTGCAACCCAGTAAAGTCCATGGACAAGTTTAAATCTTGAAGAAAACTTAGAATTTCTTGGGCTTCACTTGGAAAACCACAATTATTGGTATTTTGAATACAGCAACCAGATATAGGCAGAGATTTACAGCTACTGTAGAGAAACAAATGGGCTAATGCCCCAAATCAACACAACTCAAAAGAAGTAGAGAACAAAGATAGATCTTCTAATCCTGACAGCCAATTCCTGAACTTCTCTCAGAAGATCCAGCATTTCAGAAGTTTAGGTCTACCAATGGGACAAGCAAAGTATTTCATGGTCTTGCTGTATTCCCCAATGTTTCTATTTCGTCTCTTGCTCTAAGGCAATCGTCATCTTCTCTTTGACAGGACATATCCATCAAGGTATCCCTTCAGGATGCTGAAGCAGAACAATGCAGCCCAGTCTGGATCAAGCTCAGCAGTTGCAAAGGTGGATTAAATAAATGCATGCAGATAATGCATGAGGAGCACCAAGAGATGTAACCACCCTCAGAGGTTTACCAGACTACTGAGAAAGCATTCAGTAATTCATGTGCATTCATCATGTTTAAAAATCACCAGCTCTTGCAACTGGCTGCATATTCAGCAGCTCACTAATAGCATAATGTCATGGGATGGATACAAGAGTGAAACATAATGGGAGCTGACAAGCTGGACAGGTCTCAGAAATCTACACAGAAACTACTGCCCAGAGCAAAAAGCAAAAATATAGAATAACATAAAAATCTTGGCAGAAGGCTGGAGGGACTCTAAACATTGCAGTGTGGGACACCTCCAATTATTTTTGACTGGCAAGTGTAGTCCTTGCTGGATTTTTTTTCTACTTCAAGGCTTTCCTGACATAGCCTCTGTATTGAGTTCACTGGTTGTAATAAATAAATAGGCATGTGGTTTCCATTGGATGTGGTATGTTTAAACTGCTGCAACCAGCAGTGACTTAAGGTAACAGATGAGGCTCTCCCCTCCTTCCTTCATGTCGTTCCCCCCCCCCCCCCCCCCCCCCAGATGATATTCTCTCTGAGCATGAGCAGTTCTGGCAGTGATTTGACATCTCACAGCCTGCCTGGTACTGATCAACATTTCTGATGTGATCTTGCAGGCAAAAATCAAGCTCCAATTCCCCGCCCAAAAGGACATTCCCTGTCCCAGGGTTTTCTGCTGGAGGTCCTGACATTTTCTGAAGCCTGAAGCTGAGAAGTCAGAGATGCTCAGGATGTTGTTTTAAAAAAATGGGATGTGTGAGGGTTTTTTGCTATACAAATGTCAGTAAAAGAGGAAATCCAAGAGGATTAGTCTGGAGATGCACCTTGATGGAATCTGAACCTCAAATTTAAAAAAAAAAAAAAAATGCCCTAAAATAAGTGGGGAGCTTGTTGTTTGTTTGTTGCCTGGATTCAAGTTTTTCTGTACATGTTTGTTTGATGTCTGAGCTTGTTCATTTTTGCCAGACAGGAGCAGAGACAAAAATGGGACTGCTCTGCTGCTAGACATCCAGTCTAAGCTACTTAAACTCTTTCTAAAACAATACAAAAACCAAATGTTAGGATAGTCCCAAAACTGTAGGTGATTTTTTGCATAAACCATTGAAAAAATAATTCAGAATTAAGCATATTACCTTGCTGGATGAAAGTAGAACTTGTCCTTCTCATTGACATGTAACATCTTTGATGTCTCTGCAGTGATAAGAGGCATGATGCCTAAATGGTCAGCACTTGACATGATGCAGACATCCCTGTCTTCACTGTAGCAGCTCTTTGTAAAACCAGTAAAGGTGACTTCTGCAGGGATTAAGAGAAGATCAAGTATGGAAAATGATTACAGGAGTGACAGACCTAGAGAGAGAAAGGCTTTGTTCTTCTACATTTTCCATGTTAAGTTGCTCCCATGTGTATGTCTTTGCACAAATAATTTTAAATCAGACTAATTGTATTCATTATAGATCTTCAGTTAGCTTTAGAATATTACATAGCTAAGTTATATCTTAAATTGACACAAACCAAGTCACACCAATAGGAATTTTAATCAAAGGATATAGTAACTGAAAAAGTAACAAAAGCAAGGGCTATATTAGTAAGAACCAGCTTAATGACAACCTCCCTTGGATGGTTTATCCACTTGCCATACCTTAATATAATGAGCTGGTGACGTGATTGGATCTGTCAGTGAACTCTTCTGCAGCTACAAAATTCATGTTTTGCCACAAATTTTCTGTGAGACCCTGAACAAGTCTATTTGTCTTTCCTGTCTCCCTTACTCTTCAGTAAAAAAAGGGTAATGTATTTTCTTACAAAAATATGTAACAGTGAGAGATAAATAAACCTGTAAGTTATTTAGATCCCACCACAGCAACCAGCTATCTAAGTTCTACTTAGTGCAAAAATTATTCTGGAGACTGTAAAATTCATTTGAACTAAAGATGTGGAATACACACATAACTAACTTCTCTACCTCTTGTGCAATCCCTTATAACAATAAAACCCATAACTGTTTCTGTGCAGCTGTAGTCATTATGTTCTACGCAAATTCTATCCAAAGTGTGCTATTCACATCTGAAGCTCAGTATCCTCATTTAGCTAGAGAGAACTGTAGTTCAGAGAGATGAATCCAGTGGAAAAATAGCCCAGAAGGCAGGCATGTTTGAGGTAGAATATTACACATTATTTTATACATTAATTGAAATACATTAGCAAATTACGTAATTATACTGCAGTAGATTCAGGAAGTCAAAAAAAACAAATAATACATTTTTTTTTGTTCTTGAACTGTATAAAAGTGAAGAACAATTCAGTTATAAATGTCACTGAGTCTTGGATTTCCCCACTTTCCCATTTGTGGGTGTGGAAGCTGCAACTTCAATTGGAAAAATGTAATTAGTCAGGAAAAACAGTGACAGAATAATCTGGCCAGTGGACACAGAAGACCAACCTTCCAGCTTCATGAGTCCCAGGACTTTTGTACAATTCCCAGTTTCGTGCCATGGGTTCTCTGGCCTTTGGCTAGAAACAGTGGTGAATGTAGGCCATAAAATCCCAACACGGCCTCTTAGAGGGTAGGATGGTGGTCGATCCTTGGCTGTTTGATTGGCTGAATGAGGTTTGATCCTGTCTCTGATGCAGTCAAAAGTTGAGCTTGTTGCGACAATGATGGAGTTTCTGAGTTCTATGAATCTTTTCCCTGTCTGGCATTGTTTGGCATACAGACAATACACTACTGGCATGAGTCCCACAGTGTTGTCCACCAGCACTATATTGTCAATGAGGACGCTGCTTCCAAGGTGGAACATGATACCATAGTCATAATTCTTATAGGATAGAAAGCCTGTGATTCTAGTGCAGGTCTGAAATCCATCTCCCTGGTACAGGTGAATGCCATGGAGATTTGAATGGGCCACATTTTCACTGCAGTACTCTCCATCTAACAAACACTCTTGCCCCCTGATATGGAAGCCAATTCTCTCAGATCCTGCCACAACATTGCCACAGAGGGAGACACCAATGGCAAGGTTTGTCTTGATGCCAGCAACCCAGTTTAATGAGTTTTCTGGCTGCTTGCTCAGAATGACAAGGTTCCTGATAAGAGAATGATTTTGCCCTTCCAAATCGATGCCAGGTCCAACTGTGTTAAACACCATATTATCATGTAACAAGATCCAGTTGCTCATAACTGCTTTAATGCCAGCTCCACAGCTACCATTAATGCTGGATGACACCACCGAGGACTCTTGGGATGTATTCCTGAATTCAATAGCAGAAAGCTGAGGAGGCCCAAAGTTCAAAAATTCAGTATTTAAGAGTTGAAGGATACCTGCAATGAAATAACTATAGTGAAATAAGAGCTTAAAATATCACATAAGAACCAGTAAGATTCATACCCATTTAAACAGCTTTCAGGCATATAATGGCAAGCAATGTTAGTGTATTGTTAGCAATCAGTGTTGTTTTTTTTTTATAAATATGTATAAAACTATAGTAAAAAACAACAACGCACAGAACCTAAAATATATATTTCATTACTTATGCTTAAAACTGCATAGCAGATGAAAATGGATACACCTGTTTCTAGACCATACTTTCTTGGGCAGAACTGATCTGGTCAATGAGGGCAGATGAATCTCAACTACCTTCAAACTCTGTCCCACTGGAGTGTGTAAAACGTCCCACCAGCATCCTCCCAGTGCAAGCCACATCAGACTTGATCTGTACATTCCGTGTTAGGAGTCCAACCTCTGCAGCCAAAGGGATGCGTCTACTGTCTTCTATGTCATGGGATTGCCCTAGGGAGTTTCAATAACGGAAATGTGATAAGTGTCTATCATACCTATAAACCAGCGCTTTGAGGGACATAAAGCCTGACAGCTTATGCACAGCTTCTGTGCAGAATCTGCACTGACATTCAGGTGTGTTTTTCCCCCAGCAGAATTTACGTGCATCAACACAAAACCAGAAAGGCCACCTGCCCATCAAATATTCACTATGCACTTATATTTTATCAACATATTTCATTTTTAGAAAAAGAAGGTGCTAAACCTTTTCCCTGCGGTATGCCAAATCAATGAACAGCGTCACACTTTATTTTTTTCTAACCTATATGTGCTGAAGTTATTTTTCAGTACGCTGTACAGCTGATTTCCGTGAATGATAATGCTAAAACCCAGTTTGTTATAGAGTCTTGGTTGTGTGTGTTTTCTAAATAGAATCATCAAATCATAGAATCATAGATACTTAGGGTTGGACAGGACCTTAAGATCATCTAGTTCCAACTGCCCTGCCATGGGCAAGGACACCTCACACTAAGCCATGTCACCCAAGGCTCTGTCCAACCTCACCTTGAACACTGCCAGCAATGGAGCATTCACAACCTCTGTGGGCAACCCATTCCAGTGCCTCACCACCCTAACAGGAATGAACTTCTTCCTTATATCCAATCTAAACTTCCCCTGTTTAAGTTTTAACTCGTTACCCCTTGTCCTATCACTACAGTCCCTAATGAAGAGTCCCTCCCAGCATCCCTATAGCCCCCCTCCAGATACTGGAAGGCTGCTATGAAGTCTCCACACAGCCTTCCCTTCTCCAGGCTGAACAGCCCCAACTTTCTCAGCTTGTCTTCATACGGGAGGTGCTCCAGTCCCCTGATCATCCTCGTGGCCCTTCTCTGGACTTGTTCCAACAGTTCCATGTCCTTTTTATGTTGAGGACACCAGAACTGCACACAATACTCCAAGTGGGGTCTCACGAGAGCAGAGTAGAGGGGCAGGATCACCTCCTTCGATCTGCTGGTCATGCTCCTTTTAATGTAGCCCAGGATACGGTTGGCTTTCTGGGCTGTGAGTGCACACTGAAGCCAGCTCATGTTCATTTTCTCACCAACCAACACCTCCAAGTCCTTCTCTGCCGGGCTGCTCTGAATCTCTTCTCTGCCCAACCTGTAGCTGTGCCTGGGATTGCTCCCACCCAGGTGTAGGACCTTGCACTTGTCATGGCTAAACTTCATGAGGTTGGCATCAGCCCACCTCACAAGCATGTCAAGGTCCCTCTGGATGCCATTCCTTCCCTCCAGCGTATCAACCACACAACCGACACCAACCGATGCTTGCTGTCATCAGCAAACTTGCTGAGGGTGCACTCAATCCCACTGTCCATGTCACCAACAAAAACGTTGAACAAGACTGGTCCCAACACCGATCCCTGAGGGACACCACTCTTTACTGGTCTCCAGCCAGACTTTGAGCCATTGACCACACACTATTTGTGTGTGGCCGTCCAGCCAGTTCTTTATCCATTGAGTGGTCCACCTATCAAGTTGATGTCTCTCCAATTTAGAGACAAGGATGTCATGTGGGACAGTGTTGAATGCTTTGCACAAGTCCAGGTAGATGATATCAACTGCTCTACCCCTGTACAACAGTTCTGTAGCCCCATCATAGAAGGCCACCAAATTGGTCAGGCAGGATTTCCCCTTAGCGAAGCCATGCTGGCTGTCACCACGCACCTCTTGTTTTTCTTGTGCCTTAGCATGCCTTCCAGGAGAATCTGCTCCAAGATTTTGCCAGGCACAGAGGTGAGACTGACTGGTCTGTAATTCCCCGGGTCATCCATTTTCCC